CAGAGCCCCAGCTGATCACATCAAATTAAAACGCTTCTGTGCTGCAAAGGAAACAATGAACAGAGTGAAAAGACAAATTACAGGATAGGAAGAAAATACCAGACACTGCTTGAACAGGGGCCTAACATTTAGAATAAAGAATCAAAAAGCATTAGACTTCCCAAAATGCAAGAATCTATAAAAAAATGGCCATTTAATATGAACAGACTCTTCTCACAGGAAGCACATCTAGCCAATAAGTACATCATACATGTTCAATATCTCTATTAGAACATGCAAATTAAAACAAAATAATAATTAGTGTTGATAATGCTGTGGGGGAAAGTACCCTTTTACACCTATGGTGGAAGCGTAATTTGTACAACCTTTAGGGAAATCAGTATGGCAATTCCTCAAAAAGCTAAAACTAAATATTCCATTCAAGCTAGTTCTTCTTGTTCTAGGTATCTCCCTGAAAGATTTAAAGACATCACATATCTGGGATATACTATTTTAATAGCAGCAAAATTCATAATAGCTAAGTTTGGCTACATTCTGTATGCCCATCAACAGATGAAAGAATAAAGAAAATGTGCTATTTATGCACAATGGAGTACTACTCTGCCAAAAACAAGGATAAACGAGGCTTTTGTAGCAAAACAGAGGCATCCTGAGATTATACTGTTAAGTGACACACAGCTAAAATATTACCAAACTATAAATAAAGAGTAACATAAATAATAGATAATAGGAAATAGGAAGATAGATTTTTTTTTTATAAATGGGAATAGCGCCAAGAGATGGAGGGAAAGGGGAAGAAGAGAAAGGAAAGGTGAAAGCACAGGATTAAGATGCATTATTTTATGTGGATGCATACACTCCCCAGAAGAAATAATTACGTGTACTGCTGACATGCACTAGCAAAAGACAAAATTTGAAAAGAAAAAAATTTAAAGTTACATAATGGTGGTAAAACATGGGACAAAATCATTATGACACTGACACAGAAAATTTTTTCAGAATAACAACAAAATGTGATTCTTAAAAGAGCAAATTGATTAAATTGACTTCATTAAAGTCAAGAACTTGGCACATCAGACTCCACATTAATGAAAAATGTCAGCAATGCATGCATGAAGTTGCAGTTCATGATGATTATAGCTGCATTGTGAACGCTAACCTCTTACATCTGAGGCTTGAGAAAAACTGATACAATGTAGTGTAAAAGGCTCAAGATACACATCTCAGTACGGAAGTAAACGGCTTAGAGGACAGCTGGAAGTGCAGCTGTCCAACCAGTGTTCACTGCCCCCAGTTTTTCGCACCGCATTCTCCACCCTTTGGGTGCGTGAGTGATTTGTGAGTGTCTGGTGTCCCCGATGCTAATAAGTCAAACACGAATCACAGCCATCGGTTAGGTACAGTATCTACATGAGAGTGGGTTTTCTTTACAGAGAACAGTTTACTACAGTACAGGAAAGAATTACATGTGGCGGGAGTTGCATCTGTTCACTTTAGGGAAAATAACCATGGCCTCGCATGCACAACCTATCAATCTGCCACTCGAAGGTCTCCAGTGCTATTGTAATCTTTTGGGAAAAATTGATTATGAAAACACAACAAGAGACTTGCTTGGACAGTCGTGCCCAGTGTTAATCTAGGATTCAAACATTTTATGTTACCCCCCGGCTCTCTGTGCCACTGCTCTGTTCGCTTCCCACCCGGGAGTGTCTGGGATTGATCCTGGGCACACGTGTTGGTTCCTCTCTTCTCCGTAAAACCCTAAGACCCAGTAGGGCCCATGGCTGTGTGGATCTCCACTGCCTCGGGCACAATGACAACATCCAGTGCCCCCAGAGGGACTTGTTGAATTACCAATTTAGTATCAATGTCCCTCATCGGCCCATATTCAAATAAAAAGTTATAATAAATTATATGATTATTGCAAGTATTAACATCAAACATTCCTAAAGTTCTAAGTTGCCTGAGAATCTTAAGAACTGTATTTCATTTGGTTTGTATCAAGTACTATCTTTAATAGTAAGTTGCTAAACAAATGGATTGTAGTAGATTTGCTTGGAGAGACTGGAGATTCATGCAAGTATTTTTTATCAGTTTATATCTCAGTAGTGTAACCAGTTATTCACGTTCCTATCAGCAGTTAAGAACACATTAAAGGAAAAGGAGAAACATTTTCTTACCAATATATCCCAATTTCTTATGCAATGGTGTTGACATGTCCAAACCATGAATTGGATAGCAATGTTTCAATAAATTAAATTTGGCCAAAGCTATTTCCCTACACAGCAAAGTGTAACCCTAAATGGTGTAAAATATAAAAGCATCACTGCCTAACTTCAGATCACAGCAGCCAAGTTATCAGCAAATCACAGGCTTCAAACCATCTCCAAAATCTGTCCAAATCAACTGTAGCCAATCAGGCTGCTTCTTTTTGTCACCTCCTTCCTGGCTGGAACAATTCCCTGTCAAATTGTCCAGTAGAGCACTGAGAATCTCTGTTGGTCCTATCTGATACCTGGCTCAATAATCTGTTTTTCAGCTCCATTAAACTCTGATAAAATTAATTTGTGGAAAATGTCTTTTCAACAGTAGCAGAATAATCAACAATTTTGAATATATAATCAAACATATTTGTCACCCCAATTCATTTAGGTTAAAGTAAAATACCTAGGGGAAAAATCCCTTAAGAAATAGAGACTCCAGTATCCCAAACAGAAAGAAATAATAGAAAAATAGAACATCTTGCTTAGTAATGTTCGCGAGAATTCAAGCATGTATAAATGATTAACAACTCAATGGAATGCATAATTTCTGGGATACAATTAAAATTTTATCAACTCAATAGAGCAACCAAATTAAAAATGACTTGAAGACTAGTTCATGCATTTATCCAAGTAATATACACAAATGGTCAACAAGCACATGAAAAGATGTTCAATCTAACTGATTATTAAGGAAATTCAACATAAAACCAAAAATTTGATACATTTCCATGTCATTAAAATTATTATAATAAAAAAGAATACAGATAGTATCACATGTTGCCATGAATACACATGAGCTGAAACCCTTAGCGAATTGCTGGTAGAAATGTAAAATATATCAGCTTTGTGGAAAACAATTTTGAAGTTCCTCCAAAAACTGATAAATGGCCAGCTGGGCACTGTGGCACACACTTGTAATGCCAGCAGTCTGGGCAGAGGACACGGGAGAATCACAAGTTCAAGCCTAGCCTGGGGAACTTAGCAAGACGCTATCTCAAGAACAAACTTATTTAAAAGGTCCAGATGAAGCTACCTTTGTGCAGAGGCCCTAGTTTCAATGTCCTTACCATGAAATATATTAGTAACATTATAAATATTACCCATCAAAAGAATTTTTGGATACATAGCTAAAATAGTTAAAAGCAGGACTTGAACATGTGCATTTAAGGGAGCCAAAGATGGAAATAGTACAAATACTCACCAATAGGGTAATATGGATAAGAAATATTCGAGATTTAGGAAAAGATGCACATTCTCCTGCCTACTAAATCAAAGCACTTAGAAGATCTTAGGTGAAATAAGCCAACTAAAAGGGGGCAAATGTTACACAAGTTCATTCACATGCAGTAATGACAGGAGTCAAATGAGTGAAGACAGAAATTAACAGCAATCTGGTAGAATAGTAACAGAAGAACTATTTTAATGTTTCTGGAGCATTAGTCTGGGGAATTGAAAGCATTTGGGAGATATCTGGTATCTTTGACTACACAACGCTGTGAACATATTTAATACCAATGAACTGTACATCTAAAATCTGCCTAAAATTCCAAGTTTGCTTCTTGATCAAGTATTACAGTCCCCAAGCATCATTTATGTCTTCCAACTCTGGGTCCAGGACGGTCTCACATTCCGTATTCCTGAGCACCACGCTCCTCCGGACCTGTTCCCTGTTGTTAGACTAGCTCCTTTCTCTTCCTCAGGGTACACTGAAGATCTCCACTTCCCAGTCCCCTGTATGTGACTCTCAGGTGCACTCTCCTCCCGCTGCAGTGACTGTGGACAGGTATGAGAAGAAAGCCCGGTCATGAATGGAGAAGAGATGCTCTGAGAGTCACCCGACTACAATGCGGCTGAATCTGCAAGAGGTGGACTTTTGTCTTTCTGAGCACTGACTTGCTACAGAAACTTCAGACACATGATGTCCTCAGAAATTAAAGCACTGGATGAGGTCACTGTGGGCACGATTGCTACGAAGTGGGTGACTTTCCCCACACACGTGGTGATAGTACAAAGAAAAGCACGTTCACGTTGGAAGACCGATTTATATCATGGAATTTAAAATGCAAAAATGTTAAGTTTAAGAATGAGTGACTGAATTCCCAAATTACATAAAAATGTATATACATGGATAGTCAGCACCACACTACTTTTAAATGGGCATATTGGGGAAAATTAAATATTCATTCATCAATAACATAAAAGTATGACATAAGTAATATGTTACTATGCTGGAACAAAAGAGAAAATTAACTGGGTGCAAGAAACAACGAATTTCGAGACACGATTTTAACATGTTTGATAGAAACGAGCTCAGTGATATAAATCTTGTGAGGATTTCAAATCGTCAATCTTTAACAGAAACACTGTGTCAGCGCTGGTGTGGGTCAGAGCCGCCCGGGATGATTTATGACATCGGGAGCCTGTTCCCATATTGCTCATGCACTAGTAATGTAATTCCCGGTGGGTATTGTCCTTATTCAAGAAATCCAAGAACTAGAAACACCCCAAACACACGCAGACCAGGGTTAAAAAGGGAAAACAAACTGCTCAGCTAACTGTGAAAACCCCACCAGCCACCTGCGGGAGCAAAGTCCGCAGCCCATAGGTGTGAGCAAGCGTGCAGGCCTCTAGCAGCACTACTGACCCATGACCCCTGACCCCTGACCCCTGACCGGCTCACAGCTCCCAGCGAGGGCAGCGTGGCCTCCACGTGCACGCGGTGGCAGCTCCCGGAGATCCACCATCCGGGCACTGAGGATACCCCGTTGGTCCAGCATCCCAGGGAAGCCTGCGAATACAAGGATCACGGTCACGCGGTGGTGTCCTTTCTGGAGAACTGGGCAGTGAGAGCGGACACACAAGGACCCTCGGGGTCTTGGGGTAAGGGTCTCCTAATCGCGAGGGTGACCTCGTGTCCCGCAGGCTTCTCTATGTACTTTGCATCTTTCTCCTGAAGACTGAATACCAGGTGAAAAGCACTTCCCTTCCTCCTGCCTGTGGGGAAGAGCGAAGCTTTGTCAGCTGCAGGTCTAATCTGAGCTCTGTCAGCCTTTGGGAGGAGCACATTTTTCCCAGATTTGGGTAATATGCTGACTTCATGGCTTTGTAACACTGTGTCTCAGGTCACATTTTTGTCTGCTTTATGGATAATTTAGCAGAAATTGGGGAAAGTGTATTGCAAGTCACTAGCATACTAAGAAAATTCTTTAACTGCTAAAGTTTTCATATGTCTTTTCTGGATTTAAGTGAACAAAATAAAGTGAATGGATGTAAGATACACCTATGTCTGTATGTTAGTAGAAGTTAAAATGATGGAATGCCTAATTCTGTAAGATACTGTACAACTCAGAAGCCACATACAATATTGTTTGCGAAAGGCAACGATCACAGTAAAACTGATAGAACTTTCTGCGTTAATCCTGAAATCTATCTCAGGGGCTACAATAGAGGTACTTTCCTTCACAAAATGCAATTTAGAAAGTAATTATGACAAAACCTTTCCTTAGTATGAATGGCAAAAATAGTTCCAAACAGCCCAATTACATAAGTGTCAGTACTGAATTATCTATTTACAGTAAAAATTGAAATATTAACCGAAGAGCAAATGAAAATGTAGACTATGTGGGGGAAAAAACTTAAAGGCTTCCAAATTTAAGTACATAAATCACTGAGTTTATGAACATGGGAATGGTCATTATTGATGGGGTCTGTGACCTGGAGCTGAACCATGGGAGTGGATGCTATACTGTGCTTGGACAGCTTTTCTTGCTGTGCCCAGAGGACAGTAGGATCTTGTCTGCTGATGCGCAAGAGATGGGCCCCGCACCCTTAGGGGCCCGGCCCCCCGTGCCTCCACTGCACGTGCTTTTCCCAACTGTTGCTGCTGCGGGCGGGAAGGTAGAGGTGAAGACTGACATTCTGAGAGCTCCAAGTCCAAGGACACCTTTTGATGGCTGAAAAGTGACTGTCGTCACCTTGTCTCCAACATGAATTATGTGTCTGTATGACTCTGACCAGCAAACAAACATCTCCCTCCCCGTAGCCTGGGCACAACTCTCCTTAACTCACTTTCCAGGAGCTGCACTCAGAGGAACGAGATGGTGTATTTGTCCCAGCTTCATCACGATCTAGCTGCAAGAGCATCAGTGCACATTTCCTGCCACTTCCTTGATTCTTTGAAGACTGTGTCCATTAGAACAGCTCACCTCTAGAATTTTTTACTTGCCAGATAAATTTGTTACATTAATTTAATACTTTTATAACACTATAATTCTGGAGATCTTTTCCTTTCCTGGTTAATTCCAAGCTGAAGCTTATGTACAAGTACTAGGAAAATTCTTAGACAGTGGCTGTAATACAGTAGTGAGTAGCATCACCCATGACTTCCCTTGATCTTTATGTAAAAAGTTAACTCCTTTGCCCACCTCCGGTGATTTACTCTCTGAGGTGACAGGCTTCTCAGGCACCTAAAAAATTTTATTTGGGAATCACATACATTTCCCTCATGTTGAGGGGTTTTAATTTCCTTCACAGTGAGGATTTTACATTTCCATAATTCTACAGTTAATCTAGTGGAATATGTTTTGATTTTCGCATTGTAACTAATTCAGAAAAGTATTAATTCACTCCATGTGCACAAGGTCTCTCCAAATACACCATTCTGCCCTGCTGCTTTCAAGTCCATGTATATTTGTTACCTGCTCAGGGTGCTGAGAGAAAAAGACTCACCTATGTCCTTAGCGTAGTTCTGTTTGTTGCCTTCTGAAGAGGACAAACCTCATGGCAGCATGATCTGGGAAGTCCTGTTTGACCAAGTCTTACATGAAGGAGGCTAGAGGCACGAGCTCCCTGCACCCGGCTGGGCCCTCACCAGCCTGTCACCTGTGTGCCAAGGCCCTGGGACAGGATACTGCCTAGTTACCTGGCTTCCTGCGGCTTCTTTCCGCGGCCTCTGTGAGCGGAGTCGTAGGTGGACTCAGCAAGAGTCTAGAAGAAGATGAAACAACCTAGAGAAAATTCATCCTCAAGGCTGTGGATCCTCTCAGAGGAGGAGCTGCTACAACCATTCCTGTGTGAATCTGGGAGAAGCAAACAATATCTACAAGACAGGCGTCGCCCTCTGAAGGGATGGCTCTGGCTGATGCATTCCCTCTAGGAGTCCTTCACTTTTTTTTTTTTTTTGCCTTTACCCAGCATCGTTTCATTCTTGTGTTGGGCCTCTGCCTCCCCTCTGATGAAGCACAGCTGCTCCTGCAGTTCCTTGGCTCAAGCTCCTCCACCCACTGGGAACTCACCGCTCGAGGCCTGAGGCTCCAGGAGAGCTAAGGGCTGGCCCTGTCTGTCTGAACGAACTTCGAGGCAGGGAGGAGAAAGATGAGTCAAGGCGCCCAGACACCTCCTGCTGCCCATGCAGACTCAGTGAGGAGCAGCGCGGGAGGTGGCGGCTGCAATGGGCACCCCACTCGGTTGCTGCTATAGCGCTCTGTCCGCTGTCCTCAGGCACCCAGGTGCTGTGCCCTCAGGGAAACCCAGAGCACTGTACTCAAATCGGGCCGAGGCTACACGGGATAAGCAGCAGAAATAAACGTCATCTGGTTTCCACATCAAAAACAGGTTTGGTGGAAAATAGCCCAAAATGCATTTGTACTTTTGTTCAAGGAAGACTTTCGGAAAAAATAAGGAAACGCCTAAAAGTAATAAAAATGGTGAATATAACTGAACAATTGCTATAAGGCTGTATGGATTTACAGTGTTGGTTGCTTAGAAACCATGGCTAGAGTACAGTACGTGGTGGAAAGATAACTCAGGTGCTCTGGTAAGCTTCCTTGTGACATCCTTTCAGTGTCTTTTCGCAACTTAAAAAAAAAAAAACATTCTATTTATTTTACCTAGTTGAAAACATACCTAATATAGTTTTGCCTTTTTTTCAGAAGTTTTATTTCTATAATATGAAATCCTTGTGAAATGATGTTTAAAAACATTATCATCACATTTCTGCTATAGATTTAATAAAGCATCCACTAATTTAGACAACAGAGAAAGTCAAACACTAGATAAAAAAGAAAAATTATTGAAATGATGCCACCTCAGATATTTAATTTCTTTCTCATTGCATGACAATATTTCTTTATATTATAATTTGAGAAAATTTTACATCATTGTTTTAATTAATCTCCCTTTTCTGTTTCCATATAATCCCTTTTTATGCATAAGTATATGATATTTTATTCTTTTTTATGGTATTTTGTTCTTTACAGTACCTTGAATTTGCTTTGTTACCTGAGTGTTTTAACTAATAGGTAGGTCTGAATTATTTTCTGATTTCCCTTGTCTTCAAAACATGTTCTTTTGGGCCGGGATTTAGCTCAGTGGTTCCGGTGCCTGCTTTGTAAGCTTGGGGACCCGAGTTCGATCCCTGATACCAAAAAAAAAACCCAACAACAACAACAAAAAAAATGTTCTTTTAATTATTCCAGATGATGAAAATATGCATGCCTCTGTATAATTTCATATATATTAATTACTCTCAGTGTTTTTCAGTGGCTTTATAGATGCATAGACATAAACTGCAAACCTGCACTAGATTTCAGAGCTATGCAAAACACCTCTTAAATCAGACAACTTGGCTTCCTAACACTTTCTCTGCCATGTACTAGTTAAAAGTGTCCTAATTAATTTGTGCTTGAGTTTTTTCATCAGTATAATGAAAGTGAATATTGTTGAATAGTATTGAAACAGCTATGTTAGTCATCACACACAGGTCCAGGCATCTCAAGCTTTGGGAATCTAATTTGGAAAATTGTTTACAATTATGCAAAGGTGGAAAAACCAACAAGGCAATACTGAAGCAACCTAGGGATTAGTGACTTCAAGAAGAATCTGTGTCCCTGGTTCTTGGCAGAGGAGAGAAGAGGCCTCCAATTGCTAGAAACCAAGAGATTGACAACAGGCAAAGAGCATAGGAAACACAGTTCGCAAATCCCACACCAGCCTCAGAGCACAGGGTGGGGTGGATTGGAGCTGAGAGACCACAGAGGGTGTGTTAAGTCGCCTTCCATCATGAAGACAAGACACCCGACACACACAGCTTCAGGAGGTGATGGTTACTCTTTGCTCATGGTTTCAGAGAGTTCTATCCATGGTTGGCTGTCCATAAGCCAGAAATCACAGGCAGAGAAAAGCTGCTCAACCTATGGTGTCCAGAAGCAGACAGAGAAGGGAGGGGTCTAGGACAAGTGTTCCCCACTGCAACTCACCCACCCCTGATCCAACTTCTTCTGCTCATGCCCCATCTCTGAACAGCACAGTCAGCTATGAGCTTATGGCTGAACTAACCCACCAAGGAGTACAGCACCCCAAGATCCAGTCACCTTCCTAAAGCCCCAGTATGAGCCCATGAGACTCCAGGGGTCACTCTCCCTCTAAACTGAAGTGGAGACATAACTAGCACAGGCCTTTTGGAAACTGAAGGAGCTGGTTCACACAAAACGTTTGCAGCAGGGATAAACACTAAACAACCACTGACAAGTTTTATTATTACCTAATTAACTGAAACCCACGTCTCTCATTGTTTCTCTTTATTTTCCTCAACTTAAATTCCCCAAACCTACAATGAATTAGTCAAAGAAAAGCTGCACTGCAAAAGCTGAGATCACAGGAAGGCGATGTTTCCCTCCCTCCTACAGACATGCATGTGCTAACTGAACCAGCTATGCCACACAGGTGCTCTAGATCAACTTTTCCCAATCCCTGGGGAAGGTGAGCTTCCTTCCTCTATGTGCGCTTAGAGTTCTGGGGAGATGTTCTTAAAACAGTGACTATCATTTTATTTACTGCCCAGTAATGAACGTGTAGAAGAAATGTGCAGGATGAATGGACACCAGGCTGAGTAAGGGTGTCACACTGAGCGGAACAGCCCAAGTCACACGAGGCTGTTGGCAGATAAGAAATATGTCTGATGTGTGAAGTTCCCTTGGACTGCTCTTTGCAGACTGACTGAGTGAGGAACACTGGCAAGGAGCCAGGGTGGAGGTTTTGTATCTTTTGCAGTAGTGTGGGTGAGAAATGACCAGACTATCTGATGCCAGGACAGAGGGTTGGAAGAGCAAGTGTCAGGGTGCATTTTTGAGAAAATAAAATGATATGTGGTGAATAATAACTGCCTCAGAAAATAAATGGTCTCAATATTACCTGAATTTTAATGTTTTAATTGCATGCTGCATACTGAAGTTTCCAGTTGGTATGCAGAGGAGCTAGATCTGCTTGTCATTATTTGAAAATATATACAAATGCAGCTAGGCACAGTGGTATGTGCCTGTAGTCCCAGTGCTCTCAGAGTCTGAGGCAGGAGGACTGCAAATTTTATCCTAGTCTGGCCAACTTCTCAGCTTAATGAGCTCTAGTCAAAATTTAAAATGAATTTAAAATGGCCTCAGAATGTAGCTAAGCCAGGGTTTGACCCCAATATCAAATAAAACAATTATTAAAATAGATGGATACTTTGATTTTGCAAATCATTATACATCATATGTGGTAGTTTTATTTCTGTGTAATCCAAATTATCTATTCCAGTGTATTGCTGAAAGTTATTTTCATCATAATGCTTTAAACATGTTTACCAAATAATCTTTTTTTTTTTTTTAGCACCAGGGATTGAACTGGGGTCCTTGCATTTGGGAGGCAGGCTCCAGAATCATTGAGCTAAATCCCCAGCCCTACCAAATCATCTTATCAGTTGGTTGATTGTAGCTAATATTTTTTAAAAATTCAGCATGTTGTCCCAGACTTTGTAAGTGCTCAGGTAAACAGACACAAGTAAACTCTGAACTTTTTGTTTAAACCCTTTTTGTTTAAAGCTTAAACTTTACACATGAAATTCCTCATTTTAACTCATTTAAGTGCATATCTACCTTGATAGATTTGAGCAGAGAAGCTTGTATTAAAAATGCTGAGTAACTAAGAAATAATGGAGAAGAAATGTTCGTTTCAAGACAATTAATGCTTTTGGAGATCTGAAGTTCTGTGAAAATGAAGATAGGTGATAGAGATAATAAAGAATATCAGTGAGAGACACCTCGGAGCTTTCATTAAACAGCAGCAGCTTTGTTTTGCTCTGAGAATCAAAGCAAAGCACTATGTGAAAGCAGAGTAAGATCTACCTCGGCAGCTTTAGAAGCAGCCACAAGGCGCAAAGCCTGAGGTACACCTGCTCTGGACTGCATCCTGCTGCTATAGATGCGGAGCCAAAGGTGGAGGACACAAGGACTTGCTTAAAAACCAGAGGCCGGTCGGCGACCTCTCCTGGCAACTGTGTAAGCAAGAGCAGGAAGAGCAACCGCAGCAGTTTTCGCCATGTCTCAGTTTTCAGGAAATAAGTAAAATGGAAGGAACAACCATCAATAGTGGAGCTTTCCAGATGTGAACCCATTCGTTTGTTTCTCAGATCTGCCATTGGGAAGGGCGAACACGAACGCTTCTGCACCTTATTGTGTAGGAATGGTGCCGATCCAGCCATTGCTGTAAATAATGAGTACACCTTGACTTGCATCTAATTACTTGGGAGCCAGTGCATACAAGAGCTTTAAAATATCAGTTGTAAGGAAAATGTTAACACCACTTTTCACCTCATGACCAAGCCAGTGCTGCTTGTAATGCATGGATCCGTTCATCTTTGACAACAATCATCTAGCAGTCAATCTTTCAAGTGAGATGAGAAATCAGATTTCAGATGAGCTGAGGGAACACGTTAAAGAGCAAAGTGTTGGAAGATGCACTGTACCATTGAGGTCTGCTGAGGAAGAGCTGTAAGTCCCTCCCACACCTAGTTCATCAAAGATGCACCAGGCCCCTCTTCCAGGGACGGGAGTGGAAAAGTATGGATGACCTGAAGACACTGCACTAAGCAAAGTAAGCTAATCACAGAGAGAAGAGTCCTGTGTGGTCCCACTTGCATCACGTGCCCAAAGTTGCGAAGCACATTGGGCCAGAAAGGGCAAAAGCGGAAAGGGAGAGACACTGCCCACGCCGGTTTCAGGGCTGCAGAGACCTCTGAAGGCTAATGGTGATGATGGCTACTCAGCAGGGCGGATGTTCTTAAGACCACGGAGCCAGGCGTGCAGATGGCTAGTGTGGTAAATAGTACCTTACATCTTTTACTACAACAGGAAAATGACCAAAAAGTGGAACAATAAATATCTACATTAATTAGATTAACTTAATCACAGTGTGCCAGTCGGCCCAGTCACCACATAAAATTAAAGTTTTAAACTCTTGCTGCAGGAAGGGAATATCATTCAAGATTGTAAATTATATGTAAGATTTCAGTAGCCATTGTCCAGCCAAAATAATACATAACCAGCAGGGTGTGATGAAGCATGCTTGCAATTCCAGCACTGTGGAAGGCTGAGGCAGGAGAATTGCAATTTCTACTCCAGCCTGGGCAACTTAGCAGCTTAATGAGACACTATTTCAAATTTAAAATAACAAAAATTAAAAATGGGCTTGGGATATTGTTCAATGGGTTCAAACCGCAATACCGAAGAAAACAATTACTTAGTGAAATGCTCACTTCCATTTTACAAGTAATGACACATGACATGAATTAATTCTTTATGTAGTTCTGGGCAACTTAGAAACTTAGCAAAACAGTGTCTCAAAGTGTCTCTGGCCCTCAAAATAGTTAAATATAGATAGACCTGGCTGTAGCTCGGTACAAATGCCCCAAACATAAGAGAACAGTATGATATCCCATCAAGAAAAGCCGGTAGCAATGGGAACTCAGATGGGGTCAGCTCACGGCACCGCGGAAGCCAGGCAGACCTGGCCTTGAGCACTACATTTCTAATGCTGAGGAAAGTGCAGCAGAGCTCAAGAATTTAGAGGAGGAACTGGGGAATCCCAGGAAGGGAAGCACAAAACTGCACTGAAGAATTTAAAGGAGAAACCTAGTAACAGAGGAGAAGAAACAGAAGAGGTGATAGAGAACTGAGAGAAACTAGAAAAAAATACTCAGAAGGCAGCAGAGAAGAAGACAGGGTGCGGAGTGCAGGGAAGACCCTTGGAGACGCAGGACCGACCAGCAGCTGGACAGGCCAAGCTGCAGGGCCGGGAAGAGGAGGATGTGGGGCACCAGGCAGGTCACAGCAGAGTCAGGCTGGGGAGCAGGAGAAGAAGCCCATCTGCTCATAGAATGGAGCAAGGCAGAGGGAAAATGAGAACTTCAAGAGCCAGAGCTCTCCTTGTTTGAATTTTGATTTTTATCAGCGGATGTTTGCCATAGTAATGACTGCATTTATCCCTCTTACCAGGCAGGGTGGGTCCCTGAATGCTGAAACCAACCAGCAGAGAAAAAATGGGGATCACAAGAAAAGCAGCAAGAGGAGGCTCTTGAACTATCCAGGAAGAGGTAAAAGAAATAGTTTTTGTTTAAATTTTAAGTCTAGGGCTAGTGTCACAATCACTAAGATAACAAATAAAAAATATAATCATCAACATTCTAGAAGGAGAACATTAGAATTACGAGTTGCACTAGGTCTACCCAAAATAACAGAATGTAAATATGGATAAATGGAAGAAGTAAAAAACAAACGAACATGGAAACCTATTAAAATAAAAATATCAATTCAATTATTTATTATGAAAGGTAAGACTTTCAAACTGGGTCACAAATATATATTGCTTAAAAGAAATACCTAAACTCATAAGGACACAAAATGAAAAATAAAAGAATGGAAATAATTATTTAAAAAACAAACCAATAAGCAAGTGTTGGGAGCACTATCCCTTCACTAAACATGAACACCAAACAAAATACTTAAGCTAAAAAAAATATCAGAAGCACTGATGGACATTATCATCACAATACAGGGTCAAATCACCAGATGGATATTTTGTGTCACCTGAAAACAAGCTTCATGTATAAAAAGAAATAATCAGTAAAAAGGGAAGAGGAGCTACTCATAGAGAGTTTCATGCCTCTGTTTCCATTAGAGTCCAGTTCAATGATTTTTGGGTAACCACAGACTTTGGAGGACTCCTGTGGCAATCAGCCCAGACAGTGGGGATGGACACTGGGCCCTGGCATGGAGTGCAGTCATGTTCAGTGCCCACAGCCTGCGAGGCCACGTGCTCCCATCATACTCTCAGGGGCTCACCTGTGACTCTGGTGAACGTGAAGCAGAAATCAGTCATGGAGAAGACAAAGAGGAGAGTGGGGAAAGGATGAAGATTTCCCACCATTCCTTATTTTCTCCACTGACTTCTTCCTCACCTGTTCTCCAGAAGCAGCGCTCCCAGACACTCTGGATTTGCTTGTTTTTCTTGGACTATCTCTGCTGTCTTCACAGCACTGATCACTTCAGTGCTCCCATGGTCAACCGTGTCCATTCTCCGGAGACAGAAAATGCAAGAGGAGATCAGAGCTGCAAAGAAGAGGGAATGAGGTCAGCGAGAAAGAAAGGGAAAATGAAAGATTGGAGCATTCAAAAGGACAGAAAGGCCAGTTTGAGAGCCCCGAAGTGCAGAAGAAGGAAAAGTGTCACCCAGGGGTAAAGGGTGACACTCTGAGATGTCCACTGAGAGTAAGGTCTAACCATCAGCGGGCTCACCCTGAGATACGTGGAGGACAGACCATACGTGCAGAAGAGGGACAGATTCTCCCTGGAGAAGAACTTCAGACTATAACGGTGGAAGAAGGGATGGAAACAGAAAATAACCATTTCCATGGTGTGCTTACCAAAGTCACAGGCAACCCAGGTCCAGTCCTGGGACAAAACCATGGGCATCCAGGTTGGGAGGCTGACACAAGGGTACCTGAACTTTTCCTTTCACATCTTCAGGGTATGGGCAGACAGAGAGGACTGAGGAACTGTCACCTGAGGGGCAGACTGGCGGTGAGGTGCTGGGCTGCCGCAGTGCAGTCACAAAGCCTCAGCGCTCACTCAGTCCACGGCCTCCAGGCAGCCGGGAAAAGGTCATACGAGATGGCACCCTCCCTCTCAGCAACTCTTCTGAAAATCTGAAATTATTGCAAAATGAAGAGTTTAAAAGGAAAATCTCAACCTGATAAAAAAACAGCTTGTTTCCAGGACTGCCATTTTAGAATTTGTTCCTGAGGCTTCTGGTTCAGTTTCTCTCTGATATCCTGTAATTGTGGGTAGAAATTAACTAGCACAACTCCAGAAAGATCTGGGCAGAATAAACTGCAAAACCCACACATTTAAGCTTTCTGCATGATGCTGTTACATTGCAGTGAATGTTTTTATAATTTCACTCATTTATGTGCTAATTAATAAAAATGATAAATATGTTTATAAGGTGAAATGACTTCTATATGAATGGGAAAATGTAACTGAATTTTATTTTCCAAATTATTAAAATAAAATAGTGGCTTCTGAAGTCAGTCTTCCATTTGCAAAATGCCAACATATCACGAAAGTGTATGTTATGGTAAACTGTCTGATGTAGACATGTGTGCTTGTCATTGTACTGTGCGTGGGTTTTTCTCTAGACTTGCAGAATACATTTGTGATGTTTTATATGTAGATCAATTAAATTTCCTTCCTAATCAATTTTTGTAGTCAAAAAACTGAACTGGGATAGTGCATCTTACATGGATAAAGACTTTTTATATGAGTATAATCTATATTTCTTCTTCTTCTTCTTTTTTTTTTTTTTGTGTGTGTGTGTGCTGAGAATCAAACTAGGGCCTTGCACTTGCCAGGAAGGTGCTGTTCTGCTGAGCTACATTTCTAGCCAATAATCTATAATTTCTTGAGTACTTGGAGAATAATCTTTCCACTTCTATAATGATGTTATGAGGAAACTTTTACATAAATATGCATTGAAAAATTTTATTAATCAAAAGTCATTGAAAGACTGAAATGGATATTGAAGTTTGTAAACATGAATAAATTAATATAGCTTGTTTTTGCAGTCATTTAAAATATTATTTTCTCTTATGTCAATAAGAATAACTTAAAATTCCAAATTTTACATAAGTTAGGTACAAAACACTTTTCCTCACTCTAGTCACTGTCACACTGCTGCACTACTGTTCTCTAAAGAGCATTATAAAGCCCAACTCTGTTGGGGTTTAGATCTAAATGTCCCTCTAGATTCTCATATTTGTGGAAGGTGACAGATCCCAGGCTGTGCTCAGCAGTGGGTTCATCATGGGTGAGTTCAGGGCTGGCTGTGCTGTAGAAGGCGGGGCCTTGCTGGAGGGGTTCCTGGGGCTACCTGGAGGGTGCCTTCCTGTCCCAGCCCCTCCCTTCCCTCCCTGCTTCCTGTCTGCCATGAAGTGAGCAGCTCTGCTACACCAGAACCTTCTGCCTTACCTTCCCACTTGGAGCCAGTTGATTATGGGCTGAACCATGAGCCAAAAGAAACCCTTCTTCCTTTAAGTTGAGTATGTCAGGCATTTTGTTCCAGTGAGGAGAACATGATGAAGACAGAAGTCTATAAAGAAGTATCAAGAATCATTACATCTTTTGAAACTTGCCTTAAAAGTTTTAAAACACGAGACAAGAAACAGCTCAGAAGTAAATGTCTGGCCTAGTATGGTAAAGGCCCAGGGTTCAATCTTCAACACTGTAAAAAACAAATAAAAATTGATAAATAAGTAAAATGTAGTAGCTTTTGAGAGGCCACATTTTTGTCATATTTTCCAAAGTATGCATGTGTACACAGAGAGGATATTTCAGTTGCATATTCATCTGAGGACTGGCTGAAGATGACTTCCCATGTGAATTACACCATGGCTTGGAAGCCACTGTTCCAGGCTTTAAACTCCGTGAATCTGAGACTACAATCATTAGTTCTCGATTGAGAGGTTTCAGGACATGGGCAGAGTCCCCCTGGCGCGTGGACATAGATGACAAAGGTCCTTTTTGAGGACTCTTCTGGTCAAAAATTCCTACCAGCATGGCTGTGTCTGGGAAGAGCTATAGCCAAGCACTAAGCAAGCATCACCTTGGTCACAGACACCAACCAACGCCACTGACACCAGCCTCCTTCTGTGCTTTCCTCTGTTCTGGGTTGGTCAGAATGAGGCTTCTCTCCATGGGATCCTGGAACCTGATATTTTTCTGAGCCCATTGTGGGGCTCTGGGAAGCAGTAGCTCCTACTTTGCTCAAACTTCCAGAGAGACAGGAGGACCTACAGGTCTCTGCGATGTACCAGCTGCTCTCAGACCAGTGCACCTGACCAGCAGACAGCTGGATGCCTCATCTGCCTCTCTTCACCCTCAACAAAGCCACAAAGCAATGGCTTCTGTGATCCCAGTTTCAGTCACCTCCTGGGCTGGACTCTGCTGCTGCTCCACTCCAAGATTCCATGTCAGAGCTTCAATTTCAAATGCAATAACTTGTACTTTCCTGTATTGAAGAAGGAACCAAGGGCAATAAGCTACATCCCCAGCTCTGTTTGAGGGTTTTTGTTTCTGTGTTTTGGGTACAATATTTGACTAAATTTCTGGGCTCAAACTTACCACCCTCCTGCCTCAGCTTCACGAGTGCTGGGATTACCGACATGGGCCAGCATACCTGGCTCAATTCAATAGCATCTCTAATAGAGTTTATACTTTCTATTCCCACCTCTGTTAACAGGAGGATGGGAATCTAGACAAACCCCCCTCCACTGTTCCCTCCTCCAAAGCAAAAATAATAAAAATGGAGCTAAGCCAATCACTGTAAGACTAGAAGCCTTTCGGGGCCCATGGAAGAAGGAAGTTTCCTTCACCTTGCTGTAAAAATCCCATTTTAATCCAAACATTATGTCCTGAGCAGGAAAAACAGTTATTTAATATTCTAGTTATGTTGTATAAGAGCATTATAATATACATAGGACTGGGAAGCCCACAGTGATAAAATATGACAAGCTTCTTATATGCATTTTCTGGGAATGTTAACATGTTGCCAATGACCAGTCAGCATCCAGAAAAAAAAAATCACTTCTAAAAATGTTTCTGTGCATATTAGCTTCAAAACTCAGTAGTAAAAATTGGTTTTCTAAGCACTTTTCTGCTTAATAATTCCAAGTCTAAAACCCTTTGAATTTTTTCCCTGAAGGACATTTAGTCCAAAGAGACCATGATTTCCACACTGTAAAAATACCAATTTTTAACATTTTATAAGGAAAAAAGAGTGTTCCTCCCCCACTTTAATCATCACATGTGGCTGCCTGAGGCTGCTGGCTTTCGCCCAAAATCAGAATGGACATGACAGGTTAGTGTTTTGAACCCAATCAGGACATCGAGGCAGCCAGGACAGTGGGACTAAAGACCCTCAGGAAAAAGCAAACCAGAGCTGCTGCAGGAAGGGATGAGCACGAGGGGATGGGTGCGTGAGAAGTGAGGGGGAGGATTTGGAGGGGGATTCGTGGCAATGTGTCTTTTACACAGTAAATTTTGTAAAACTTTAAACCTTCCCCATGTCTTTTGATGATGCCTCATATCGCTATGTAACTGCTTCTCTAGATAAACTAAACTTTTCTTTGTTTAGTTTCCCTCCCTGCAGAAAGAACAGCTACCCTGCAAGCCTAGTCATAGCATATTGAAACAACAAAAGGGAGCAGCACTAGCAGCGTCTGACAGAACTCAAGGCTCACAGAGATGGTCCTGGTCATGGCTGTCACTGTCCTCTGCCATCATGTATGTCAGTGAAGTACCCCTGCCTTCTACTTAAACAATAAAACAACAGACCCCACACTTGTCACGATGCTGAGAGCTCTGTATTCAGAACACTGATACCTAACAGCACAGACATAGAAGCGGGATTTATGATGAAGCAGCGGGGTGGGGCTGTGGCATCGCTCTCCATGTATGCAAGGTCCAGGGGCCGAGAGAGGCCAGGCCTGCCTGAGGTGCTTTTCTGTGTGTGGCCCCGACATCATCTGGGGTGGGTCTGATGGGGAATTAGTTCTGCTGGCCAGGAGGATTGGATAATAAAGCTGTGCCTGATGGAAACTGATTTTTTTCTTTTCTTTCTTTTTCTCTGATGTAGGGTTTGAACACCCAGCCTTAACTCTGAGTCACATCCCCAGCCTGCTTTTTATTTTGCCACAGGTTCCTCACTAAGTTGCCAAATTTCCCAGCTTTGGTTTCAACTTGCAGTTCTCCTGCCTTAGCCTCTCAGAAGGATTGCATTTCCTATCGGAGCACCTGGCTTAATTTCTGGAGGCTGCTATAACAATTGTCACACTCACGAGGGTTTAAACACCAGATATGTGTTCTCTCACCTTGGTGCAAGCCAGAAGTCTGAAACCACACAGACTCTGGGGCCTGTGGAGAGAAAGCACCTGAGTCCTCTGGCTGTGGGGCTCGCATCTCCATGGGGTTTCCCCGTGACTGCCGCTTTTGCCCACACGCTCTCTTTTCTTGTCAGTCCACGTGCTGCATGTCTCTGACAAGGACTTTGTTGCACACTCCTGGCCTCTCACTGCAGCACCCTTCCAAGTAAGAAATGGGCCTCGGTTTAATATTCTGTGTTTGCTTTTTAGGTGCTGAAGGTTTTCATTTTGAAATGCTTTAGTAAAATTTAACCTCATTATGACAAATGCCTTGATTTTAAAGGAAGTCTACAGCATCCAGTGACAAATATTTGAAGATAAATTGTTTACCTAAGCTGAAATGATATATATTTAAGTGCTTTCTGCCTCATTTACTCCTAATGAGAGTTTAGATCTAAAATGGTGAGAGCTTTTGGAAGTTCCAGTGCCAAGTTCCCCACTTTCATCCAATTATGACCTACTTTAGACATTTTTCATTCTGTTTCAGAGTCGTATGTGTAATTTCATGAGATATGACAGCCAGGATGCAAACGGAAACAGAGGGAAATCATATCACCAGAGTCAACGGATCCATTGGACAGGAATTTTGAGCTGGGATTTTCCCCAGGAAAGAAGCACAGATTGTTTAAATTTTGAAGTTAGATTTGCCCTTAACCTTGAGCTTGGAGCCTTTCCTCCTGTTCCAGCCAGAGTGTTTTATCCCTTTGCCTTTCCTCCAACCTAGCTGCTGTGCGAGTGTTATTTCATATCAGCTAGCAACGCAAGGCAAGCACAGGTTCCGTCCCTGGGCCGCTCACTTCTCTCCATGGAGCAGGGGTGCTTGGACTGCTGTGCCCCCAGCACTTCTGCTCCTGCTCTGGCAAGGAATGAGATCTGGCTGGGACCCACTGCAGGCTTTAGTGGAATGTAGCCCGTGCACAAGGGGCTTCTCTTTTAAATCCTTTAAAATGAGTGTGCAACAGAACCCAGATTTCAACCTCAGTTTTTCTAACTGGAGAAATAGACTTGAGAATTGGCTATATTCTGTGATATGTTTCTAAAAATAATTAAATATTCTTCTATGGAATTAAAATATAAACAAACCCAACTATGCACTTTTGATAAGAAATATGCCTTAGGCAAATAGTAGAGGAACTTAGAACAATAGTTAATCTACACAAGGTGAATATGTTTTTAAAAGTGCAGGAATGACTATTTGTCGCAGAAAAATGGAACTGAATACATTAAAGTAGAGCGATTTATGTTTTATTCATAGTATATACAATAACAAAGATGAAAATGGCAAAATTAACATTTTGGGGATGAATAACACAACAAAATATACAAACTAAAGTCTTCAAGAAATAGAAGGAAAATAACCCAAATCACTATCTTCACATAAAGAATTAATATAAACACTTCAGTTAGTTGCTAATAAAATAGGAAGCAAAAGGAAAGAGAGCAGTGGTTCATAAATTGTTAAATTGTGAACTCTAACACAGAATGAGAATGTTCTCTCTCTGAGAAAAAATGTTTTACTATAGTTTTTTGTTTGTTTCTTTCTTTGCTTTATATTCTGGAATGGCCTAAAATTCCAGTTAGGAAAAGTTGTTGAATTGGCTACCAAAAATAAATAAATAAATAAATAAATAAATAAATACTTTAAAATATTTTAAAAATAAAATATATTATTGTCAAAGTTCACATCTTGCCTATTTTTCCCAGTGAATTTGTGATAGATTTCAATTTATATACATTAGCAAGCTTATTTAGAGCAGGTGTTTGTCTAACTATAACAGAATAAAATTATCACATAGTATTTTTCAAGTTGTATTTCACTTTTGTTTGAAGTCAATTTAGAGCTTTCTACAAACATGTTAGAAATGCGGACCAACTCAGCAAGGGACACCACAGCACCCTGCTTGGGGCTCTAAATGCCGGTCACAGGGGTTGGGGCAGAGCACTGTGGTCCTGCAAACAGGTGGTCAGTGAGTGGATGCATCAGCCAACTCCCAGAACTAGGAAAAACTGGAGACCAACAGAAATTACTACAGTGCCCTGAAACTTTGAGATCTGCTTACATCAATTACTTTATAAAGATACACAAACATTCACGCATACCCGATTACACTCCAGATTGCTCCCAGGTGGTGAATATTTACTAAGCAACTCATAGTCAAAGTAATTAAAGGAAAAGTAGCATTTACCTGGATTTCTTGTTCAAATATTATTTCCAGGAAAACAACAACAATGGAAAGGTTGATCACGAAACACAGTGAATATTTACATTTTTTAAAATGTTGTTACAGCGAAAGACACATTCCCATTACCCTTGCACAGCCGGCCACTCCCCCTTGCTTAACACACCTACAGCCTGATGTTTCTCCCACTTTCTGAAGCAGCTCCAGAAGTCCTCTTTCATGAGTATCTTTTCAGAGCTGTCTCAATGTCTTTTAAGGATTCAAAATGTTTACCGCAGTCTCTGTCAAATAAAAACATTCCAGTATGTCCTCATACACCTTTCTCCTCAGGGTTGGCACAGCAAACTCTGGCTTTTCTCCAAATACAAAATGACCATAAAAGTTTAACATTTTCAGTTGATTTGGGATAATGTGGCAGTGATGTCAGCACAATGTAAGATACTCAGGGAAGAGGACATCCATAGCTGCTGCAGAAAATGGCAAGGAAGTAGGGACACCTTATCTGAAGGGGTATTTTGAGGTAGATTAAGAGCAATGTATCTTTTGCTGTAACAGAATCTCTTTAAAGATTCATCATATTTTTTGATACCCCATAGTTGCTAAAGGTATGTGGGTAGTCAAAGAGTTGATGAGGAGATCTGTATTCTGTTGAGAATGCAAGTTTACAAATGAATTCCAAATAAAAGAATTAGAGTAGCCCCATTTTTAACTCATGTCGAACTAATTGATTTGCTGACTGGTCTTTTATACTTGCATATACATACCAAAAATGGAGACAACCAGTTAATAACTGCCTCCTTTGGAAATATACAGATTGTCAACTACAAAATCTTCTTGTAAAAGAATTGAAATTGAATCTGATCAAATACAATATCCAATAATGAATTCTAATGTTTTCAGAAGAAGAGGAACACAGGAAAAGATAGCACCGTGATTCAGTCAATAAAATGCAGGCTAGAAAGAAAGATGACTAAAGAACACGAACTCGGGTCCTTTAATGAATAATTTGAAAAGAACTGAATAATTTAAAAGACATTGTTATGATTTAGATTTAAAACGTCTCCCAAAGGATTCTTGAGTTCAGAGGCTGGGTTCAGAGGTGAGGCTTTGGGAGATAATTGAATTCCAGCAGTGTGTGTTTGGGGAGATAACTGATCTGCTGTCAGGACGTGGGGTCTGATCAAAGCATTTAGGCCCCTGGGAGGTGACCCGGAAGTGGTATCTCCCTCCCCAGCTCCTCCCTTCTCTCTCCACTTCCTGTCCTCCATCATGTGGAGCTCTTCTCTCCAGGCCCCTGCTCTATGCTATTTCTGCCTTAGAGCCAGCAGACCATGAACAGAGCTCAGACAAAATAACCTTCTATTCCTCTCAGTCCTGTCAGTGGGTTACTATTGTGTTTCAGCAATGAGAAAATGACTAAGACAGACACGGTGCCCAATTTCAGTATACAATGGGCCCTTGGCTCACTAACTTAATTCATTCCTAACTTTTGAGAAGGAGTCCACAGTCATGCTGTCACCAACATGATTTCAAGGACAGAAGCAGAAGGCTGCCAAGCACTTCTGTTTTTGAACTGGGCTGAGAACAGACACATCTGTGAACTGAGGCATCACTGTATATATTTTATTTAGATTCCTGAGTCAGACATATTGTGAAATAAAATTTTAAAAACTTGAAGACAATGTAATAATATTTAGCATTTTTTAGAGGAGACATAGATACTACAGTTGTTTGAGACATAAGTGACACTTTGAGCTATCTATTGGAAAAGTCACTGATGAAACCTTTAGGTGTTTGATTGAAGATAATCCAAGGAAACTACAAAAGGTTTGAAGAACAGAGTTGAAATAAAATTGTGAAATATTTTAATTGTTGTAAAATTATGACAAACATAAATAACAGTGTTTTATTTTATTAATTTACTTGAATAAATGCTTGCTTTTTAATAATTTTTTAAAAATCTACTCAGAACTAAGTAACACTTTTTGAAAAAAATGTGAGTAAAATAATCTAAATGAATTTTTAAATAATCACTGATTTGTTGATAATTGTTCACAATTACATTTTTCCTGTTCTGGTTAAGTCACATTTATAAGTCCTTCAAAACTATTTCCATTAGTTTTAATAAAAATCATAGCTCTT